GTATTTTTGATAAATTATGTGTAAATTAGATAAATTAAATAATTAAAAATAGAATTATAAATAGAAAAATTATAAAAAGAAATATTAATAATTATCAAAATATGTTACATAATATTTTATATGTGATCTAAAATATTAAATGGTGACAGTAATAATAATTTCACTCTGATTTTATTTGTTATTAAATTCTATTTTTATTTTACTTTTATTTTTTATCTTAATTTCATTTTTGTTTTCTATCCTAAACTCACTTTTAATTTTTACTTTTGATTTTGTTCTTATTTTCTATTTTTTTTTCAATCTGAAATTCTATCTTAAAGAATAAAATACATTATATAACAAGTTTCAAATTAATACTTCATAATATAATCAAAAAAATGTATATATAGATCTTACAAATATTAATAAAGAAACAGAATTAAATTATGTATAATTCTTCTTCAAGTAAATTAGACTTGTAAAATTGTTATAATTGATTGTGATTAGGTCTTTTAATCCAAAAAAACATTGATATTATTAAATGGTATATTAATGAATTGATAGAAAAAGCACTTTGTGATTAAATAGTTTAAGGCTTTTAGCTAGAAAAAGTAACAATTGAAATTTAACAGAAAGAATATTATTAATAAACTATCACATAAAAAAACATAAAATTCAAAATCATTTTACTTCAAAATCCAAATCTACTAAATTTCTCTCTCTACCATTATATTGAACAATATCTATAGATATTAGCACAGGAATTAAAAACAAACATCATCGCAATCTAATCACTCTCATACTCATTATTACAGATAAAATCATCGATTACATCTAATCATGATTAAATCATGACAATATTATTATAAAGAAATAATGATATTATACAGAATCCACCAGGATGATCTTCAAAAGTTCGAGCCACGTGGTAATTCTTTGATGATGTCAATGATGCGAAAAGAATTAGAGTTGAATCTGAATTAAGATTATTTGGCAAACAAAAATATATATATATAGTAAAATTTCGCAAGAAATATTTTTTATTATTTTTATTAGAACACAAAAGATAGTTTCAAAAATATGTCTGTTTATTTTTGAATTTTTGTGTTACACATTGATCTTGCAATTTAATTGGTCATCATCGCTGACATCATAAAAAATTATCACGTGATCCAACTCTTGGAATTACACGTATGATCAGAAAAAATTATGCATGCACAAGTTACAAGGTAGTTCCAAACATAATCATGTCTACTTCTATTTCTACTTTTTCCGGAGAAAAAGAATCTCTTCCTGCCATAAACGTAGTAGAAGGATGGGATACGGAAACGCTAATCGGATTTTTGAGCGAGCAAAATTTAAAACTCAGGGAGGATCATTTCGAGGTTCTTCGTAAACAGGAAATTGAAGGTTCAGACCTTCTCAAGTCAAACCAGGAAGCACTTGAAAGTTGGGGAATGCCAGGTGGACCGGCACGAAGAATTGTGGAATTAGTAAATAAAATCAAGGGCGAGGACCAAGGTAAGTAGTACCACGACTGCATTCGAATATTCCAAACCTATACTGCTTTCTCCGCAATAATTTCATTTATTAACTTGTGTATTGCTAACATTAGAGCGCGAGAAAAAAAGAAAGGCGGAGGAAGAACGTAAGATTATATAGAGTAGAGTTTGCTTTGCTTTATATCGTGCTCATTCTTACTAATAAATTTTTTGATCAGTTGTGATTACAGCACCGAAGAAAAGAAAATGGATGGTAAATAGTGCTATTACGCGAGAAGAGCGTCCTATCGTCTACTTTGTGGATCCTACGGAACAGAATGTCCCGCTTCTTGAATTGATACATCGAGGTGAATTTATAGCGTTACATGGGCCACGAGCCTCTGGCAAGTCTACTCGGGTGCTTCAACTTCAGGACCAGTTGAATAAAAAAGGCTTTGTTTGCATCTAGTAAGTTTGTCTTTTCTCCTAAACTAACTAGTCACGTTGCACGCAATCTAATTGTTTTTTTGCTGTTTCTATTATCTTACTTTTCTTCGGAATAGTTTATCTCTTGAGCAGGTTAACATAGATAGTGTAGGTGAATTCTGGCAGACACTTGGTGTTCATCTCTATTGTGAAGCTCCCGAATACGCAGGGCTCAATAATATAAATTCCGCTAGCGATTTCGATGTAATGTTTCTGAAAAGCAATTGGAAAAATGATGTTATTCTCCTTATCGACGAGTTTGACAAATTATATGGAGCGAATGAAGATGTTAAATCCTCGTGTCTGGAAACTCTTCGTGGCATTAAGGCAACAAAGGGAAATTATGCTATCCGGTCTGTTGTTGCCATAGGACCCTTTAGCATCCTGTATCTAAAATCGAATAATTTGACTACGTCACCATTTAATGTTAATGAGTCGTTTCAGAACCCAAACTTTACTTTGGAACAAGTGCAGTTCCTATACGAACAGTTTGCGGAAGAGTACAACCTAATCATTGACCAGGAGATTGTCGAGGACATATATATACAAACAAACGGGTAAGTGACAAGAGTTATGTTAGAATATCTTTATTAAAGATTTTTAATCCTATTTTATTTTATTTTTTTAACAGACATGCTGGTCTTGTCTGCCTTTGCGGACGTGCGATCTTTAGAAAATTGTATTCAAAACTAAAAAAAGTAAATGGAAAATTGCATGTTAGCTTTGACATATGGCAACGCTTTAGCATGATGTCGTTGGGTGACGAGCTAATAGAGCACCAAACATTTATAAGGATGAAGGATGCCCTTCTAGTAGATGATCTTGATACTAAGCGTGCTGTGAGCCTTTTCCGATCCGATTTTCTAGCGAGTTTCGACCCTATATACGTCGATGAAGAAAAAAGGGATTTGGCTCTGTTCCTTACAACCGAAGGAATTCTAGTTCCTGGAACGTTCGAAATTTCATCGCCTTTGGTGCGCTGGCTGATCCTTCAGCGAGTAATTCCCCGCGTGTTTCCGATTTCACCTCAAATGGAAGTCCCCTACACATTTGGAACCTTGCTGGCCAACCGCAGAAGGGCATTCAAGTCGCACACATTTGGCACGACCTCGACTTTACAAAAATTAGGATGATTGCATGTTGGTGGAATAATAATACGAAGCATGTTGCTGACGTTGAGGAAATAATGGTGCGTTCCATTGTAAATATTTCTTTGATTGATTGCTTTGCATTTCATATTACTAACGACCTCTGCTCGATTATAAGTTTTACAATAGTATAATATAGAAATTAAGAACAATATCAGAATGAGAATAAATTAGTTGTATTTGTTTTTCATCCCTAAACTAGATAGTAAAACCAATTTAACCTGTCATTTCGCAAAGAAATGTATGCATTTGCAATTATATAAAGCAGTTAATAAAGCTGGACCCTGGTGGCTGATTTCGCATATATAAACACGTTTACTTTTGCATGTGTATTTCAGTTATATACTCGAGAATTTTTTGTGTAACTTTGATCGTGAAGATTCTTCACGGTTTTATCATGTGACTTTTTATATGTATGCGTATACGAAGTATACTTTCTATGAAAGATAAATTCAAGCTTTTGAATATATTCGCATTTTATATAAATACAATGGCAAAGACACAGATCCAAAGGGATGAATCTCAAGATTCATCTAAAATCGATTTATTGGAAAGAATTCGAGGCTCTTAGCTGAGATTTCCGAGCTTAGAAAGGAAAATGCTGAGATCAAGACCGAGAATACAAATTAAAAGACATTGAGACCAGATTCGCGAAACTAGAGCAAAGTGATAAAGAAAAAACTGATCTTATTGCTAAACTGGAATGTGATGTCTCACTAATTAAGTAGGCTTTAGTAACTTCACAATCACTTATTTCACCACCAATTAAAAACCACTCTGATGATGATAATAGCACTAACTCTGTAAATTTAGAGCAGACACAAAATGCCACCCCCAAGAGATTCGTTTCTTCTGAAATAAATTCTGACAGTACTTCCAAACAGAGATTTCAAAAAGATGCAGAAAATATATCTGATATCATATCTAGTCACTCTGTGACTGCTTCTGGCAATTCTGATATATGTCAGAAGTCTTTAACTCAATATTCTACATTATCTATCCACACAAAGACTAAATTCTTGAAAGGTAAGAAGATCAATGATTTCCTGAATTTGAAAAATAAGGAAAGGATAGAAATAGGAAGAAGAAGCTTCATGTTCAAGACTTATCTACAGTTAGTATATCCAAATTATCATGTGATCTTGAAAATTATAAAGATTTTTCATGATCTAAATCATGTAATCTCAAACACACTCATTAGATTATAATTAAAATTTGAAATCATCTATGCTTAATAATTCTAATATTCTTAATACTAGAGATCTTATTAAATCTGAACATAATGAAGTTATTGCTAAGTTAGATAAAAATTTAATTACATAACAGAAGTTAAAATAATAGTTATTTCTACTCTTATAACTTCAGATTGAACTTAAGAAGATCAGCTTTGAGATCAAAATTTATTTTTAGTTACTATATAAAATATAATCTGCATGTTCAAAAAAGTGATAAAGTTTGATTAAGAAACAATTTTATATTGGTATTATTTTATAAAAAAATATGATAAAAGAATTAATAAGATTATTATTAGTAAAGTTAAAAGAAAAACTGCAACATTTATAGTATATCAAGAAATCAAACAACTTCTATCTAACATAACTAATATAAATTTGTGTCAAAAAATTCTTAAAGTTAGAAAATTAAGTTATTTAATACAATAAGAATAGAAAAAATTAAACAGATATATTATAGCACAGATGTTATTTCAAGTCTCAATTATCAACAAATTCAAAATATTATAAATCATATGATTTCAAAAACTGTAAAGATTCTTCATGATAAGATTAATGCAAATATTTCAGCTACATTTCCTATTCCTCTAACTCATATCTCTAATTACTTTGTGATTGTTTTTGACAATTCTTTAGGTCCAGATAATTTGTCAAAAGTCAAGATAAGTACATTACCTATTTTGAAATTCATTATCAAGAAGATTCTATCTAAAAAACAAAATAATTCAACTTATATTAATGTTTATTTTTGCAACAAATTATTGGAACAGTATTTCAATTTGTATGAAGAATATAATAATGAAAATATTGATTATTATAGAATTAATATTGAATCATTATATTCAATATGCAAGTTAAGTCATGAGAAAAAAGAAAGTATAAAAGGTGAATATAAAGATGAATCTTACTATATTAAATGTAAAGCATTTAAAATTGATATTGTTATACCAGTTCATGCTGAAATAATTGTATAAATTATTATTTTCTCAATTCTGATATTAAAACTAGATATATATATTTAGATATAATTATATTTTTACTTTGTAAAATAGAAAATTATATATTTTTTTAAACTTGAAAGGATAATGAATAATATTCAATATAGAAATTTAAATGATTTAATTTTATAAAATAACAACATAAATGTATTAAACTTGTCAATGAAATCTTTATAAATTAGAATATTTTAATTTTTGAATATTTGAATTTATAAAATAAATTAATTAAAGTTTTAACTGATAAAATTTATAAGAATGAAACTGGACTTGATTCTTGGATAAAGTCTAAAAATTCAGAATTCTTACAAATCAAAGAGAGTAATTATATCTCTTAGAAATGTGTTATCAAAATTTTTAAGTTTTCAGAAAAGAAAAGTACAATTCTTGAAGCAGTATATAAATGCTTTTCTTTCTTGTCTTATATTAATTTGAATGTATAACACTGAAATATTTTTAAATATACTAATTCAGAAACTAAATATCTAATATGTGAAGAAATACATATTTGTTTAGAAATATGGAGTAACTGGAACTATCTAGGTAAAAATAATTATTATTTTTAATTATCCATTTCATATTGATCAAAAAAAATTATAATTGCTATATATAGTTTGCTAAAAAATCAAGTAGGTATATTTAATAAAATTCAAGAGACAGAGACTTGTTATTTTCACAACTTCTCAATTTCCAGAACTAATTTAAATAAATGGAATATTTTTATCAATATGTTATTAAATATAAAGAGAATCTAAAAAAATTTTTAATCATTATTGAAATTGAAAAAAATAAATGGATTATGAAATATTTTTATAAGAAATTAGAAAAAGATATATATTTCTTTCAAGATAGAATAGAGAGAAAGAAAGATCCTAGAAAATATTATAAATTTTTAACTGATTGAAATAGATTAATTGATGAAAAGTTATTACATTATAATAAATTAAAGAGTGATTTAAGTACTGAATGACTTAATAATTTTATAAATAAATAACAAAAAACTTATAATAAATTTATACAAATTTCATGACAAAACTTCAATCATATTAAGATAAAGACTTCATCTATACCTTAAGTAAGTGCATAATTTATATTAATCAAATTCAAATATTTATTTTTTATTTTATGAATATGATAACTATTTTAATTATTCAAAAATCTATCTTGTATATAATAAAAAGCATAAAAGAGATAATATAAAAGATAAATGGGATAGTGGTAAATATTGTAATGAAAAAACTTATCATCTCAATTATTAAAAGAATAAATATCAAAATTCAATCCAAATAGTATTTATAAAAATAGATTAATGCACAAATTGCACTTTTTACAAAAGATAAAAATAACTAGATATAATTTTATTATCTTTACTAATTGATAATCTTGTAAAAATAAAAAATAGTAAGATCTAGAATTTAATTATTATCTTATTATAATTACTTTTTTATATTTCTAAAAAATACTACTTTAAAAGCATAATCATCAAATTATCATTATTTGTATAGTAAGATAAAAAAGATTATATAGATTTCTCACAGTTTAATTTACTAAACTATGAGATAAAAATAGTTTGAATATATTTATTTTAAAATTTACATAAATATACTGATATTCTTTAATTATCTTCAATTATCTATCATACTGACTTATGCTAAAAAATCAAGATATATGTCATTTTTTAATTATTTTTAATATTAGTATTCTTGTATTAATAGATTAATTATCCAAATTACTTGTTACGAGTATACTCAATCATATAAAAAATTTTGTTTTACTTTTAAAATAATAAAATCTCTGGCTTTGTATATTGTGTTATAGAAAATGTATAATTATTATTAGATAATTTAGTATTTTAACTTGAATAATTTGTTCAATTTACAACTAAATAATTTGATTAGATTATATAAAATATAATTTTTATCTTGATTTCTTATTTTTTATACCATGCATTCATTTCCTATTTAATTATAACATGAATGCAAGTGAAATTTTTTCAGGTGAAAAGTTTATATATTACTAAAACTCTAATATGAGTATATTTTAAGTGCTCAAAAAATAAATTGCTATATTTATTAATAAAATCTAATAGATTTATAAGACTTGTATAATTACATTGTAAGTTTATTAAATTATTAAATATATCAGATTTTGTTATCTTTACTATTATTGATAAAAAAGCTAAATTGGTAAAGCTCATTAATAATTATTCAGGATTTGATATATATAAAGTTATATATATATAATTATAGATATTTATGTAATTTTTTATTATTTTTATTATTTTTATTATTAATATTTATAATAAACTATACTTACTACTCTTTAAATGCCAAATTTTATTGTTCTATAAAATTGAATAATACTATTATAAAGTATTATTATAAATATTATTATGAAATCCTACGCAGATTTTTTTTTAAAATTTTACACAGACTTACATATTATTGTAGATTTGTGCAGAATTTTTATTTTTTTTCACAGATCATTATCAGGTTCAAATAACTGCACTCTCTGATATTACCTGATATAATAAACTTAAAATTAAACCAAAAGAAACTTAAAATTAAACTAAGAAAACTTAAATTAAACTTGAAAAACTTCAAATATGAACTAGAAAACTTGATTTTTATTAATTATTAATACTTATATTTATATATTTTTTCATATTATAGTGACATAGTATGGCATAGTAATATGTAGTAATGTGTAGTATAACACAATTGTGATATAGCACATAACACAATAGATCTATATTAATATTATAAAATTACTAATTCTTTTTTAAAATTACACAAAATTTAATTATACTATAATTAATAATTTTGTTCTATACTAAAATACCAATAGTAAAAATAAAAAATAAAGACTAAATTAATATAAAAAATGATAAATTTGCAAAAAAAAATTATGTGATTAATATATTCAAATTAAGATAA